CGCTTTGACAATTTCTTCACAGGAAAATAAAGCCGGATAGACTAGAAACCGGTTATTATAGCCGCAGGCAAAACGCCCGAAAACTCAATATAATGACCTTCAAGGATAAACTGGGTTAAACTTCAAAGACCACTGGTCTATCATTACTCGCTTTGACAATTTCTTCACAGGAAAATAAAGCTGGATAGACTGGTAACTGAGTTATTTGGCCATAGGCAAACTCCTTAACTCCCCTTTTTCTTCGGTGATGTGAACCAAAGAAAAGGAACTCGAAAATCTTCAGGATAAACAGTCGTCGTCAGTCATTTTATATTGTGTATAAAAAAACAAAAGTACAAGTTATAATATAAACCTTTTACTTAAAAAATAGAAATAAAAAAAATACAAAAATATAATAGAAAATATACCTTCGGTGTTGAAGCTTCCAGTCCAAGGGAAGTTGGAAGAAGTAAAAAAATTTTTGATTTCATGCAAAAAGGGGTTTTTAAGGTTTGTTATGATGCAGATCACATGATACTTTTCGGATCATTTCTATTGGCTCAATTCCCAATAATTTCTGAAGACCCACATATTCAGTTCATTTGACAATTCGAGACATTTATCATCTATTCTTTGTCTTATTAAAATATGTATACTGATCGTATTATATCCGATGTAGAAATAATATATATATTCCACCAATCAAAGATGTAAAAAATGATATTCTATTCTCTGGAGTAAATTATTTTTAAAATGGTTTATTTTTTTTCGACGCTAATTTAATTACAATTAACTAAAACTGTTCAGAAGGGAAAAATGGATATCGTGATTACATAAAAAAGATATTTAAGTAAAACACTCTGCATCATGTAATAATGTCTGCCTAAATTAATAGTTTCGAGTTTTACCATAGATTTTCCTAAATTACAATAAAGTAAAATCAAATTTCGGGATTAAGAAAAAATTATGTTAAAGTTTTCGGCTTAAGTTTCTTCATTAAAATGAGGCATCATTAGCATCGTGTATATTTTAAAAAACAATCATGAAGAGCTTGTCTCGTGACTTCCGCCACGAACTCAATTTGATACACAAAAAGCCATCACGAAACTATTTTCCTTTTCAGATGCATCTTTGATGAAAAATGGACTTTTAAGACTAATGATTTTTCTATAGCTTTCATTCTAATTATCTTAATTATCATCTGAATATATAATTGCAATTAATTAAGAAATCGATTGATACAATTTATTATTCTAATAATGCACACAGAATAATTTTAAAAAAAATATTTGAGGTGTAGTCGATTAAATGGAAAAAATTTCGGTTAAAAAAAATAAAAAATAAAAATAAAATTTGGCTTAAAACAAAAAACTGAATCGATTGACCATTGGATAACTAGATTTATTTATTTATTTTATTTATTTTGCTAGTTCAATTCTAATTTAGTTTCTCCAAAAAAGGGTTGATGCGTAAAAAAATGCTGATGCGTGTGATGCTGATTGGCTAATATTCAAATTTTTCGTTGAACAACAAACTTATGTAACCCAATTTGTGTCGGCGTAACCTTATACATCGGGTCGTCTATCATGCCCTTTATATCCTTTTGAAAAAGTTCTGAAACAAAATTTCTTTAATTTCTTTTGCTTAAAATTATGACATTTGATTTATTGACCACCACTTTATTAAGTGATATTGAAAAACTTTATCTAGATAATAATGATCATGATGCAATTATTAATGTTGGTGAAGGTTTGGACACAAGAAGTTTCAGGGCTCATTCAAACATTTTACGGGCGAGATCCTCATATTTTCGTGCTGCATTATCAACTAATTGGGTCAAACGTGAGGATAATATCATATATTTTGATAAACCAAATATTTCACCGATTGTTTTTGAAATTATCTTAAGGTACATCTTTTTGAACAAAAATAATATAACGATGGTGATAAAAAAAAAAAATAAATAAATTTTATAAATTTGTTTTAATAGATATATCTACACAGGTAAATGTTTACTCGAAACGATTGAAGATGATATATTGTTTGATGTGCTTGTTGCAGCAGATGAATTATCATTAATTGAACTTATCAAATACATTGAGGAATGTATGGTAACCAAAAGGAAGGATTGGATACATAAAAATCTCGTACATGTTTGGAAAACATCATCACAATATGATTGCTTCACCAAAATTCAATTTTATTGTTACGAATTGATTGACGACAATCCCGATGCTTTATTAAAATCGGATGATTTCATGTCAATTGATAAGAAAACTTTGAAGGAATTATTAAAACGGGACGATATTATAACCGAAGAAGTAGAAATTTGGAATAAATTGATTAAATGGGGAATTGAACAAGAACCAAAATTAGATCATGAATTATCTGAATGGAATCAAGATGATTTTACCGAATTAAGAGAAAGGTTAAAAGAACTTTTACCACTTATTAGATTTTATACCATTTCTGGAAGTGAATATTATCAATATGTTCGACCTTATAAAAAGGTCCTTGATCATGATTTTAGAATGAAGCTAAAGAAATTTTATATTGATGAAACTTTAGAAGCACCACAAGATGCATTACCATACCGATCACCTGTATCAAAGATAATTCATTCAAGTCAATTGGAATTTATTGCAACTTGGATTGATAATAAGGAATTAGTTGAGAATTTTAATGAATTGATAACTTATAAATTTCGACTTCTTTTGCGTGGAAGTCGTGATGGGATGGGGATTGAAAAGTTTCACGAGTTATGTAATAATAAGGGTGCAACTTTAGTTTTAATTCAAATTGATGGTCCACGTAAAATAATTGGAGGCTATAATCCATTGCCTTGGCAAAGTTCAGGAAGATGGAAATGTACTAACAAAAGTTTTATTTTCTCTTTTAAAAATAGAAAAAATGTCAATGATTACATACTCGCCAATGTTTCGCATTCTTTTAGTGCAATTAATGATGGTAATAAGCATAGTAGATTTGTGGGATTCGGTGATATGGCTTGGTTTGCGAATAGATATAGTAAGTCTTCTTATGATAAAACAATTATTGAAACAAATAATTATAATGTAGAAGATTATGAAGTCTTTCAAGTTATTGCTAATGAATAATTCAACCATTAGTTTGTTTTTCTTTATTTTTTTTAAAAAAAAATGTATAATAACAATCAACATTTATAAAACATATTACTCATTCATTCGTAAAAAGACAAAAATTATCACGCGAATAATGATTTTTAAAAAAATACGAGAAAACGAACAATGAAAATTATGTTGTCAAATTGCTTCAAATAATATTATTCTCAAGCCAATTGCCTCTCCTCTATCCATGATATTTATATCAATACTTCCGGAAACAACATTAGAATCAAGTAATTTTTCGTATCAACTCTATTCTTTTTATAATAGAAATATGAACATATTACTAATTACTTATTTGTGTTATGTGCAGCAGAGAAGAAAAGTTACTAATTTAATGGAAATTTTTCATTTATGTTAAATTCTGTATTAAAGCGCATAGTTTTTGAACCGTTTCAATCACGATAATTTTCGTAATTTAGAAACTTTGCGAGTGTGCATAAATTTTTTTAGGTAGTTAGGTACTGTATATACAATATATATATATTTTATGCCAATAAAGCAGATTCGTTTATTATTGAAATTTTTTCTAAATTTGTGAAAACAGACCGTTCAACGGAAAAGTTGCTATTTAACAACAGAAAATTTGTTTAGAAACAATCACTTCAGGTCAAGTCTCATATTTTTGATATTCCAAAACCATACATAAACTAATTATGTGATACTTTTTCATTTAAAAAGAGAAACACAACATATATCAAGAAAATTTCAAATTAAAAGTTAGATTATAATTACCCAATTGAAGAGTAAAGCCTCATCAAATACTATTTTGATGAACTAATATATTTATCGGAGTGCTTGGAGTGTTATCGATATATAAACATAAGTCAATTGGTATGCAAAGTTGAATTTTCTTTATGTTTGTCTTCGAATAGTTCTGAAGTAATCTCAATTATCAAACAATTTGACCCTTGGCCCTTTTTTAATAAGTGAATACATTACGAATATCAACAATATGGTATAATCAAATCATTAAAATATATAAAAAATATGTATTACATAATTACCTTGCGGACGACTCTTTTATCTGTAGCGTTATTTAAGTTACAATTTCAATGCAAAATTTTTTCCAATTTGTCCAAATATGTGTACAAATGTCGTTTCGCGTTTAGTTTATAACGTTTGTTTATATTCCTTATAGACAAGGACAATTTTAGCCATGTTTCTTGTGTATATTACTTGATAAAGATATAAATATAATACAAAATTATTAAGTATAAAAAGGATGAATTATTAACGAAAGAAAAATAAAATAAATGCTTGTTGAAAATTTTCCAAATTAATCCAATTGTGATCAAGGATCGTTTAAATCGTGCATTTGCGATTTCAATTCCTTCTTTATATGTTATAATGTATAAGGATTATTCATTAATTAAATGAAGTAATATCTTTTGTAGTCTAAATAAGTTAATAAAGTTTGCTTAATTAATAAGTTTAGGAATGTAAAGACTGACTTACCTTTTAACTTTTTTTGTGCTCAACGATTCAATTTTTTCAAGATGTTACAGATATTTTAATGACATACTTTATGTAATAGTTATCTTCGATGCGCAACGAAAAAATAAATTGGCATTACGAAAAAAAAAAAAATAGCACAATGTTTTTTTTTTTTTTTATTAAAATAAAACACACTCGATTATTAATGAATTCCTGATATGTTGTAATACAATAAAATAGCCTACATGAAAGAAACTGATTAATTTATTTTAAGATTTATTATCAATAATTGCTTATAAAATCCTTTGAGAACCACTTTAAAAATAAAAACTTTTTTCTATTAAAGTCTTAATGTCACTTTCATTGCTAAAACTTAATGTTAAATTCGTCCCGTATTACAACCTGAACTTCCCCAAGGTCCAAGTCAAATCCACCAAGTGCAACTGCATCTCCATCGAAAAGCTCAGCAGCCATTTAAGTGTTGTAGATATTTCTTTTGCAGAGGTGTCAAAGGTTAATTGACGATTTTAGTGAAATGTGTCATAAATCTATTCGGTGCCAAGTCCGATTAGCCGATGTGTGCTCATATTTTTTAAATTTAAGGATCCCACATGTTAATAAAAAAATTCCTTCATTATGCAAAATGTCTTTTCGATTCGATTTCCTCTTCAAGAAGTAGTAAAGAAGACGTCATTCACTGTCTTTATGTGTTTGAGAAAGAATACGGCTATGAAAAATTTGCAGAGAAATGGACTAAAGGAAACGACTTTGGAAAATAAAAAAGGAGGCGCTTATGAATAAATTTGGTGAAGAAGGAAGACTCATTAATGATATGACCCATCGTGAAGCAGTGATGGCAAGTGACCTAAATGACCTCAAACGACTAAATGACAAATGGGGGATTCATACATTGCCTCGGATAGCTATTCCGTGGAACTGCCACCTCTAATTATTTATATACTTTACAGGGATGAAATTTGTACCCGAGTCACGCGCCAAGTTCGCAAACATCTCAGGACCTTCAAGCTGATGATTCCATTGACATGTTAAATATTGGTCATTTACAATAAGACTATCTATCATGCAAACTTTTTATGTTACAAAGACAGATGATTATAATGTGGGAAATGTTCTTAAAAGATAAACCAAATTCAATAAAACATGTTTTATCAGGTCAGATGGGAATTAAAATAAATTTTTAATTTTTAAATTTATTTATTTAATTAAAAAAATTTTAGAAAATAATTAAAACTTTATATTTAGCTAAGAATAATTAGAAAAATATTAAAAAAATTAAAGTTATAAAATATTTATATTAAACTTATTTAAAAAAAATTGATTTATTAATTAATTTTCATATTTAATAATATTAATTTATAATTTTATTTTATTTGAATTAGTAAATATAATAATCATATTTATAAAACTTTTTAAAACAAATAATTACAAATAACTGTCATTTAAATTGATTTATAAATAATAAATTATTAGATAAAAATTTAATTTTAAGTTTTAAAAAAATCTTGCTTTCAATTTAATTACTTATTTATAATAGCAAAATTTAATAAAACCTTTATTTTAATTGTTTATTTTAATTTTTATAATAAAAAATAAATATAGTAAATTATTTAAATATAATATATTTATATTAATAGAAAATATTAAAAATATATTTTATTTAATTAAAAATTTAGATTTTTTTAATAATAATTTTAATATTTTAAATTTTAAATTTGATTTAAAATAATTAAAAAGTAATTATGTAATTCAAATAATATTATAATTTGAAATATTATTTTTTAATATCTTTATTTATTTAAAATAAATCTAATATTTTAAAAAATTCTTGTTTATATAAAATCTTTTATTATATAATGACTTTATAAATTAACTTAATAAATAATAATTTAAAATATATTTTTAAAATATATAATATATTAAATAAATATAATTAATTTATTAAAAGAGTTAATGTTTACTATTTAAATAAATATTATTATTATTTTTTATTTTAGAATTAAAATTGAATATAAAGTTAATAATAATAATGAAATAATAATATAATTAATTAAAAAATTTATTTATTTTAATTAAGGTATTAATATAAAATTTTTTCAATTAGCTAATTTTTTTTTTATTTAAAAGGTTTAATTTTTAAAAAAAATTAAATATAATTAATATATATTTTACTTATTTATTAAAAAATAAAAAAGTAACTTAAAATAAAAAATTATATATTTTTTTTTAATCTATATTATATATATGTATATGTATTATAATATATTAGAAGTAAATTAATTAATTCTATTATTTATCTATTTAAATAATTAATTAAATTTTACATTTGTATAGATTAATAAAATTTAAATATTTATTTTTGATTTAATTTTTTCTATGATTATTAAAGATTTCAAATTATTATTATAATTTGAATTATTTTTTTTAATTACTAATTTAAATAAGATTAGTATTAATTAATTATAATAATTCAAGATGAAATTTTATTCAATTTATTAAGTAGTATAAATGATACAAAAAAGACGTTAATTATTAATATATAAATAACTAGTAATACCACATTTTACTATGTGACCTACTGTATAAATATGTAATAAAAAATGATATTATTAAAAAATATTTATTTTATTGATCAAATTATGGTTTTTACTTATACATATATGGGAGGCGATCAGTAGAAAAAGGAGAAATCTAAATTTTGGTTAAAATTTATATTATTAGATCACTTGGCTAATCTCAATCATGTGCACAAATTTGGCTTAATAATAAAAATTAACAAAAATTTTGTATTTCCTTTTTTTCTACTGATTACCTCCTATATGTCAGATTTTTATTTTTTTTACTTTTCTTAATTTATGATTTCAAATAAATTATGCTTTATATTATTTGATAATATGTTTGCTTATATGTTTTTTAATAGCTTTTTTTATTAAATATTATCCTTAGATTGTCTAGCAGGAAAATTTGCCTGCAAAGTTAAAAAAAGTATCAATTTCTTTATAAAATATTAAATATTAATTTTAGTAATATTATTATTATATATAAAATATAGTTTAATATATATTTTATCAACTTTATTAACAAAGGTTTAAGTTTTTTAAAAGGTTTTAAAATAATCTAATTTTAAAATTAAGTTTCAAAAAATTTCTTATAATAATTTTTAAAATATGTTTATGTACTAATTGAATTACTTTATCATTAATTAAAATTATAAAATTTTTTAATAAATTATAAAAATTATAATAATAAGAGTTTTCTTTATAAGTAATATTATAATATTCTATTATGATTAATATTAGAATTCTGAATTACTTTCGAGTCAAATTAGTTAAGTTGAGTTAAGTTAAGTTAAGTCATAAAAAATTTGACTTATTTAACTTGAGTTGAGTTTCAAATTAAGCTTGACTCGACTCAAAATAACTCAAGCTAAACTTGAGCCTAAAGTTGAGCAAAATTTGAGCACAAACTCAAGTCTAAAGTCTCAAACCAAAAGTTGAGCTGAACTCAAGTAAAAATTT